GGGCTGAACCCATCACCATGTGTGGGACGACGCACTCGTGATCCGCTCGGGTCAGCGCTTGCGACGTACTGGCTGCGTTGTGAGCACGCTGGTCATAGTAGCGCCTCTGGCGGGCCTTGGACACATGGTATGCCTCTCTCCTCGCAGTGCACACATGCGCGCCGGCCATCCTTCGTCTGACATTTGCGCCGACGACTCCTGTGGACCCAGAACATGTTAGTCCAGGTGATCGACATGTGGAGGGTGGACTCGAATGCCTCCAGGCCGTGCTCGGGTGATGAGATGGCGAGGCAAAAGCAACCGGCATCAAGGCCTTGGTGCGAGTTCGGGCGAGTGTCTTACCGGCACGCGGCACAGGCCGAGGGCTTCCGCATTCCGCGCCCAGGGAAGGGACGGTGTCCCAAGTCGTCGGTGGTAGGGGGGGTTAGCACCAGGGGACGGAAGCAGGATTGATGATGAAGTGATCCAGCCCAGCGGGCGTGTTGGTCAGGCACAGACACACAATGATGATGCTGGACGGAAAACTGGTCGTCCATGGACGAGGTGTCCCGCAAACCAGACGCACGCGGTGCCAGGCTCTGGGTGGTCATGGTATGAACCGGGGGCTGAACCCCGACTGGCCCCATCACTTTTCCGATTGCGTTGACATCCCCAGACGAATGGGATCCCTGTCTCCCCGCCTGAAGAAGACGCGAGAGGAACCCCTCAGCGGTTAGGGGCGGGAAACCAGCGGAGAAGTTTTGCGCTGGTCGGGGTCCCACCTCATGGATTATCCTCCTTTGGGACTCGATTTGACTCGCACTGCATATTGGCCGCGGCTCAAGCCGGCTTTCTCTTCATCTGCATATCTCTCGCTCATCGTGCGACACGGAAAATTTTACGGAGAAAACTCTCCAACCAGCACTCGGCTCCGGGCTTCACTGCGGAATTGAGGAACATCGGTAGTTGCACGTGGTGAACGGGTTCTCCTCCACATCGCCCGCATGCCCGCCATCTGGTGCACCGCATCCTTCATCCCCATGGGTTCCCCAAGGCAGGTATGGAAACAGAGCCAAGGAGCTACTCGACAGAGAATGGGTGTCCAGACCCTGAGTCGTGGAGGCCACTCCAGGTCTGAGGCCCAACTGGTTACCCGATTCAGGTCACATCTCCGCACTCCAGTTCCTCGGTTTGACGAAAGGACCCTCCCATCCCTTGTCAGTCGATTGACTTGTTCGATCTGCTAGTGCTGCGATTTCTTGATTCGTCCGTGATGACTTGGGAAGCTGTAATGGGCCATGGCATCCAACTTGGCTTCCCCATCGTGAACAACTATATAATACTCACGCCCACACGTCATTTTACTCACGATGCTTCTGAGTCAGCCGCCCTTTAATCAACCGGTCATCAAGCAACAAGCTCCTACTGGCAGGATACTCTGACAAAAGGTCTCTTCAACATGTCCCAGGAGAAGGATCTCGGCCCCAGCGACGGGCTGGCCGCCGTTCCGACGGTTAGCCATGGCCAGCGCAACGAGACGGATGTTGCCCTCAACAATGAGCGTCAGATGAGCGTTCGCGATACTTTCCGCTTCTGGCCCAAGGCTATCCTGTTCTCTTTCGTCATTTCGCTATCTATCATCATGGAGGTTGGTCTCAGTCTTGCCAGCCCTACAACGTATCCTCGCACTAACGTTATGTTTTAGGGATACGATACCCATCTGATGAGCAGCTTCTACGCCTACCCGACCTTCATGGAACGCTACGGCAACCAGGTTGACGAGAACGGCCCTCTGATCTCGGCCCAGTGGCAGACGATCATTGGCAACGGTGTTCAGGTCGGATCCATCATCGGCCTCATCATCAACGGCTTCATTACTGAGTGGCTCGGGTACCGCAAAACCATGATTATTGCTATGACGGCTATGATCGGCGCCATCTTCATCCCCTTCTTCTCCAACGGTCTCCCCATGTTCCTCGCTGGAGCCCTCATCCAGGGTATCCCGTGGGGTATCTTCCAGACTCTTGCTGTCACGTAAGTATCTCAAATTCGGTCAAAGCAACGACGAAGACCTTGCTGACTTGCTCACAGTTACGCTGCTGATATCTGCCCTACCGCTCTTCGAGCTTACATGACGTCCTGGGTAAGTTTGTGCTTGAGCAATATTTGATTGTTCGAGACTGACACGACTGCAATAGATCAATATCTGCTGGGTTATCGGCCAGTTCATCGCTGTCGGCATCCTGAACGGCTTCATCGACCGTACTGACCAGTGGAGCTACCGTATCCCCTTCGCCATTCAATGGGTAAGCTCGATCCCAAACCATCGAGGCAACAGTACTAACAAGGAATAGATCTGGCCCATTCCCATCATTGTTGGTACCTTCTTCGCTCCTGAGAGCCCTTGGTGGCTTGTCCGCCACAACCGCATGGAGGAGGCCAAGGAGGCTGTTCGCAGGCTTACCAAGCCCGAGAGCGGTGTTCAATTTGACCTCGATGCTCATATGGAGATGATGCGCGTCACCAACCAATTTGAGATGGAGATGAGCACCGGCGCTCACTACTGGGACTGCTTCCGCGGCAGCAACCTTCGCCGTACCGAGATCGCCTGTATCACCTGGATGACCCAATCCTTCTGTGGTGTTCCATTCATGGGCTACGGTGTGCAGTTCATGGTTCAGGCTGGTCTCAACACCAAGCACAGCTACGCCCTCAGCCTTGGCCAGTCCGGCATTGGTCTGTTCGGTTGCATCCTCGCCTGGTTCATCATGACGTGGTTCGGCCGTCGCACCATGTACCTCGGCGGTCTTTCGGCCATGTTCGCCATCCTCATGATCATGGGCTTCCTCGGCATCCCTGCGGAGACCTCCGGTACCTCGTGGGCTGTCGGTGTTCTCGTCATTGTCATGGTCTTTGCCTTCCAGCTTTCCGTCGGCCCTGCCTGCTACACCATCGTCGCCGAGATTCCCTCGACCCGCCTGCGTATCAAGACCGTCGCCCTTGCTCGCGCCTTTTACAACGCTGGTGGCTTCATCACCAACGCTCTCATGCCCCAGATCGTCGGCCGCAAGGCCTGGAACTGGGGTGCCAAGGGCGGCTTCTTCTGGGCCGGTATCACTGCCCTCTTCCTCGTCTGGACCTTCTTCCGCATGCCCGAGGCCAAGGGCCTGACCTACTCCGAGCTCGACCTGCTGTTCGAGCACGGCGTCGGCGCGCGCAAGTTCTCGCAGGAGGCTGCTGATGTCCTGAAGCCCCAGCTCCAGGAGGTTGCGGACCGCTCCGAGAAGGTTGCCGAGGTCGAGCGCGAGGAACGCGAGGTTCGCAGTGCTTAAGCGTACGAGCTGCCTAAAGTGAAATGATTTTAAACCTTCTGCTCCTACCACGCATTGTGTATAGCGATTCAGTGACCTGCTTTCAGGCTCTGCAGCGAGGCGTGTTGCGAACATACTAGCATAATAATCACTCCTCCTGAATATACCCCGAATTTTATCTATTGCTCTAAGCTTGAAAACTGCGGATTCTTCTGCGGTCTAGATTTCTCCCTCCTGCTGGTCTGTGACTTCGCTGGAGTTGCTATAGCTGTCACTGGCCTCCACTTCCAAGCACGAGAACCAGGTAGCTGCTAGCAAGAAGACAAGTGCGAGTGTACTAGAGGCAGCCACGAAAACATACGGCCAGCACCATGAGCTCTGTTTCTGCAGCTGTAGTAGACTGTGCATTGTGGGCCCTATTGCAAGCTTGGGCACGGCTTCGAGGAGGACGTCGATACCGAAACCGACGAGTCGCTTCTGTTCGCGCACAGTATTCCGCTGAGGAATGACAACCCGCTTTTCCTCTGCCTCATGGCTTGCGATGCCAGAGAGAAGACCTGGAGAAGACGATGACTCCGAATTTTGTTCCACAGCGTCTTGGGGCCCTGCCGTGTGACCGTTTGCTCCGTAATTTGGAAAATCTCTTGGTTCGAGAAGTGGCCTGGTATCACCTCCTTGAGGCCCCTCTTCTTCCTCCTGGTCGACAGGTACCAGCCAGGCAGCCAAAACGGATTTCATGAGTGTCAAGGACTGTCGGCCGATCTCTATGAGAGCGTACCCGGCTGTCAATGATATGAATGACGATGTGCCGATGAATAGTGCGGCTCCCGAGATGCCGAGGCAGACATTCATGATTGTCAGGCCTAGGTTATAAAGTAAACTGTTGGCACCCTGTTTTCCCTGGTACATGAACCAGACATTGACATTAGGGATACGATTGTCGTCCCCAAAGAGCCGACGACCTTGGCTTCTCGAGTATGTCTGTCGTGGTCCTGGTGCAATGAGAGCCGATAGGACATGAATCCAAACGCAAAGTTCCCACCTCCTATTGATAGTGGGCAAAGGCAAAGGGTGACAACCAGAATGAATCCGGCCTTGAGGTTCGGTAACCTGGTCCTTATAGTCTGAATTGTGTTGTGAAGGTTTCCGGACGGTCTATCCTCTCTCCAAGTTGACTTGTCCGACGGCAGGTGCCACAAGGCAACACAACCCAGACCCGTCATCATGGCAGAAATGAGCAGCGGTATACGGATGCCGAAGAATTTCACAATGAAAAGAGAAAGGTAGGATGTCAAAAAACGGGACAGCGTTTGGACACCAGAATCAAACTGGAACGCCAGTACATACATCCGAGGGGTGCTTCGAAGGAGTCATGTTGTCAGTGAAAAGCCAATCTTGACAGAAACATGTACACGGAGTGCCAAAGATTACTCACCTTGATGGAGGGAATGTGCTCTCAACAAGCCCAGAAATGAGAGCATATCTGAAAGCTGTGCAGGTGAAAGGCCCACCGCCGAGGAAGAATAACGAGTTTGACAAAATTACCCACGCTTTTAGATTATCTTTGGAGCCGTAATATACCGCACAACAGAGACTTATCGGTGGTAAAGAGTTGCTGAAAGCTGAGAGAAGGGTTACAGATTTGGTGGTATCGAGTCTATGAACCGATTGCGATCAGAATGATGGGCCAAGGGGTGCGGTCTCGGGCCAGATAGGACGTTTTCCACCCTCCAAAAAGGCCTTGAGAACTTACGCAGAGAACTTAGAGGCACTGGCTAACATGAAAAACGCAACTGAAGAGGCCAAACCTGATGCAGCTGTCAACTTGGGAATTTTGTGCAGCTTTATTTGCTAGCGTTCGATGAGGCTGGCCTGGCACGTGCAAAACCAAGTGATGGCTCACCAAAGAAATTTGCAGACCAATTGTTGGCGTTCAAAACCTGGGAGATGATATTTTTGCAGCCCTCTTCCGTCTCGATCTCGTGGCACAAGATCTCACGCCAAGCTGGTTGCGAGTTATCCACAGCCAGTACTGTCGCACAGGTGAAGCAGGCAGTCGCAAGATACATTGGTAGCAGGAGGGCTAACAGAGTCGCAGGCCGATTTGCGACTCTCACAGGTCCAAATTGCTCACTCTGTTCATTCCTTCGAGATACACGGCTGCGTGGCGCATCCTGGGCTATGTCTAGAACCATAGCTCCGTGTGACGTGCTCGGTGAACAGCAGCGCTACACGGATGCTAGTAAATATGGAAACAACAATAAAGGCTTTGTGGTGTGATACACAGATAAGTCGATGCTGAGGCTGCGTTTGATGATTGACGGTGGATGCTTCTTCCAAACACAAAAATGGGCTGCACGTCAGGCCGGTCAGCCAGCCTTGGCGGTTTCGCCCTGTGCAAGAAATCGCACACCAACATTAGGTCCGTTCTGTAGGAAAGCGGCACAGCTTCCTTTGCTGCTGCCTAAGGTGACGTACCGCATCATACAAGACTACCTTGCTTTCACTCAAATACGAGCCAAGATCTGCCTGGTCAATGCTTGCTTTTCCCGTTCTTGAAACAACGATGCAGTGTTTATTCGGCCACAAAAGACCCAAAACATCGCACCCAAAAACCAACATCCCGCGTCCTGGCCGCGGCCCAGAGATCAGGAAATGGCGCAATGACACATATCATATGATCACTTTAGACTATATAGCCATGCGTATTACATGCAGGAGTAGCGCAGCTGATTGTGTGGAGGTGTGGTACCCCAATGACCACAGCCTGCTTTTGCCTTGAACAACAATTGCCTCCATCGCTAAGCTACAAACTGGGCTAGCCAAATACAGTGCTGCACTGCAAGAGATTCGGTGCAGATGAGATAGTGGCTCGATCAACGGCGGTCGTGCATCTTTGTCAGGATTGTAGGGGCCGAACAACAGATTTCAACAAGCAAGCGCAGCTACTCTAATCATGGCGGAAGAAGGCAATTTTAAGGTACCTACCAAAACATCTTAGATCATCTGTAGGAAGCCCATCCCGCCAAAATTTGCCTTAAAAAGCCGAGGCTACCCTCATCCAGCCCGATTTGTAGATCCACGAGTATTTCTGCCAACGCACACGGTCCGCCAACCATTTGCCCACCCTCTCAAATATAAGTTTCATCCTTGGTGCCCAAACCGAAGTCCTTGCTCACCTGTACGCCCAATGCCGGCAGGCCAACGGTATACGGCGAAATTGTCCCCTGCGGCTTCCTGATGGCTTGACGCTGCTTTTCCCCGGCGTCACTGGAGGTTGCGGGCGACTCAGTTGAACAGTTCATAACCTATCGCTGCCAGCCTTTCATCGAGTTGGACGACGGCAAACTAAAGTTCATGCACAGCTCGGTACGTGACTATTGCCTCCAAAGCAGTGAGATTCTCAGCCGGCATGCCCTCGAAACACGAGCTCTCGTCTCTATCACATCTTTTGAATCGCACAGCAAGCTAGCGGAACAGTGCCTTTTGTGTCTACTCGACGCTGGATATGGGTCAGAGGAAAGAATTGGAGGACTGCTGCACCGCAACATGAAGTCTACAACACGCGGGTTGGCATTACAGCTACTGAATATGCAGTGGACGGCTCAACCTCCCTCCAAAGGGGTATCCTTTGAATATGCGCAAAAGAACTGGGCATTTCACCTCACAGCCATCGATGATCCTGAATACGGACTGCTTGAGCTTGCGCAAAATTTCTTGCACGTGTCGAACTTTGCCTACTGGGCCGAATATACACTCTTGGAGAGTAAAAACGACTACAATCACATTCGACGCACGAACTTACAGCTGAAGGCATGGTACCGAGACCTTCCTACATCCAAGCAGAATCAAATCTCGGTCGAGAACTATTTGATATATCCATACACAAAGCTCAGTGAGTTCTTCAAGCGGCGTCAAGGACAAGACAAGCTCTTGCAGTGGCTTGCCTTGTTGCAAAATATCAGGTTTCAAAGAGACATTGGCCAAACTCTGAAAGCCATTCCTCTTCTTGCTCAGGCAGTCGAAGGGCTGGAGAATGACCTCGGCTCTGAAACTCCTCTGACTCTTCGAGTGAGATCCGACAACGCGACTGTGCTGTTGGAGCTTGAAGCTCCAGACAAGGCAAACTTGGAGCTTAGGGCCATCGCTGAGATCCAAGAGAGATTGCTTGGAAAAGACGAACCAACGCTATTCAGGACCCTCAACTCTAGAGGCTCTGCTGAGTTACAGTTGGTTCGTTTCAATCAAAGTGCGAAAACGCAGGAAACCGCTTGTGCAGGTTTTCGGAGACTATTCGGCGCACAAGATCCTCGCTACCTTGGCAGTCGCATTTTATACTCGCTTGCTCTTGTCCAACTGAACCAACTAGATACGGCGCTCGAGATACTGACTGCCGTATTCGATTATCGAAGAAAACAGTATAGTGACAAAGATCTCTTCACCTCAATGGCACAGTTTCCCATGGGAGACATACAGCGTATCCAGGCAAACGAGAGCAAAGTCTCAAGAATTTAAAAGAGGCCCTCAAGATACAACTCTTAGCCACGCGGCTGCTGCCCGACTAAATATACTTAAATTAAATAGTTAAAT